CTGTAATTACCTGTAGTCTTAGCCAAGGACGTGTTAAACTATGATTTACATTTTTATATATTTTTTGTGAAATTTTTTTATGTCTTTTTTAATTAAATCAACGATTTCTTAGTTCAGCAATTTCTTCTTTTATTTATTTTTTGCTTTTCACACAAGTTGGTCGAGTAAAAAGTGATTTATCGCGTGGTAATTTCCGCTGTGAATTTATCCGGACAACAGAACCGCAAACGCATCGAGTCGATCTTCGAATGAAACACAATTGAAAATTCTCGTGCCGTTTTTGACGCCCTAAACAAATGCAAGTGCCTACAGAAACGAAGCGGCAAAGCTTTCCTCACACCCCCCACAACACAAACACAAACACACACACATACACACACAGTAGAAAACTTTTAGGCGACGCGTGCTGCGACTGCGACAGCGACTGCGCTGCCATGTACACAGGTGTTTTAGTTTTCTGTTTTAATATATCGTTTGTATATACGCCAGACGATTTAATCCACACAAGAGCATAAGAATGGAAGGAGAGAGGCAGAGAGGAAGCTTGTGCTGAAAGCTTTTACAAGGGGTTGTAAATACACTGAAATTGAATTTGTGCTACCATCTGAAACAATTGGTTTATAAAAGCCGGATCCCACTATGCTCAAAATATGTTACATTTACCAACTTCACATTCGGCGATTCCATTAGCAAGTGTCAGTTGTCAGTAACATATGAATGGCAAAAGTACCGATTCTTTAAATTAAACAGCTGATTTGAAAAAAAGTTTTCCTTAAAGAAAATACGGCCTCTTAGTGATGGACTCTGCGAGATTTGGCCATCTTTTAATGTTAAAAACTGTGGGATTAGTAGAATTTAAAATTATAATTTAAATTTAACATCTATACGAAATTCGATAAATCAACACAAAAAACTCGTCGCGAATACCAACAATTTTTGCAAATGTGGTTCCTTATGTGCAACATACTTCACATTCGCAAGAAATGTAACATTCGGGAAAAATTTAAGAAATGTTGATAGTGGAATTAGGCTATAATATAATATTTCTAATATTAGAGCATCGTAAGAAAGTATGAATGTATGTATGAAATTCGTGTACGTCATATTGGGCTTACACTCATTCCAAACTGAAGATTCTCAAGGCAAATGGATAAAAGAAATATGCATATGTATGTATATTGTACGAATGAATTCTCAATTCAAAATGTAAGTCCCCTATCCCCTATGAATCTCTTTTACTTACCTAAATTAATGTTTTTTTTAATGAAAACTTAAAATGCATCGAGTGTTGCTTTTTGGTTTTTATAGCTGTACTGTTATAGCTTTCGATGCAAAGTTCGGTACAATTTGGGATCTGAAATTAAACACGTACAAAACACTTTAGGAGCTACGTTTTTCTGTACTCCACAGTAACGGGAGAATACCTTTGTTACGTAAATAAGCTAAGTAAACAAGTATTTCTATTTATTTGTTGCATCGACAACAATACAAATTATTTCAGTGTCTATAATGCACACAATATAACTACATGTTACAGAAACCGGTTCGGTATTTCAGTTATATTTGAATAATTGTACATAAATAACTTTTCTTAGCTTATTTTAATATTTTTTGCACGAAAAAACACGATTTAATGCGACTAGCACACGGCACACTACATGAACTGTGCGATAATAAAGCGAAAATAAAGAAAAGTGTGAGATAGAAAAAAGAGCAATAATAACAACAACAGTAAATGTTATAAAATAAAATAAAAGTACAGAGCGCAAAGTCAAAAATTGAAAACTAACGAAACTCTAAGAAATCGAAGTTTACGGTGAACTGTCGTCGAAAGCGAGAGCGCCAGCTAGTGAGAGCCGAAGAAAGAGTACAAGCAAAGAGAGATAGCGACACAGAAAGCAAGACAGAGAGGGTGGGTGAGAGGGAGAGCGGGTGAGCGCGCGCTTTTGTAATGACGTCGTTTTCTTTTTGGGAATTCCGGGCTTTATGCTTATGCGATCATCATCAATAGCGGCGGCATGTTTTTTTTTTGTTTTTGCAACAGCGGCGGCGGACTTAATTTGAATTCGATAATGTGCGTGCACGCACACACACCTATACACACATATATATGCAAAGCATGTAAGCACACTGTTACTTTTTTTGTTATTGTCTAGCAAGCTTTTGTATAAGTTTAGCGCTTTGGCGAGATCTCAGCGCGGCGTCCGACAACAATTTTGAGTGGCGTAATCTAATCGGCAAAACATTGAATTCTTAGCCATATTATCAAATGTACGTGCATTTGGGGCCCGTTACAAATATGAATTTGTTGTTATTGTTATGGTTTTTGTTTTGTGTTATGCTTTGCGATGTGCTCTCTGTTAAACTTAAAGCTTGCAGGTGAAACTTTTATCATATTTAATGCACCTTTTTTTACGTTTTCATTTTATTTTTATCTACAATTTGTCTACACTTGGCATGCACAGGTTTTCTTAACTTGTCTGCGCCACAAGTGCGCAGCAGAAGAGAGACACAGTCACAGGGGCAGAGAGAGCGAGAGCGAGAGTGAGGGAGCTTTTAGCATTCGCGCGCGCGCTGTTTTGTAAGACGTTAAAACAAACGTTAAAAGCACACGTTATCGACGTCCGACCGACCGACCGATCACATCGCCAGCGAATTGAAGACTAAACTGGAAGCCAAGAAGAGCAAAACAAGTCACGCAGACGCCATTAAAATTGCCGCCAAGCCAAGAGCTTTTCGTTTGATAGGGCAAACAAAAACAAAGATCACAGTTTAACCAAAGACCCAAAGCAAGGCATGACGCAGCCATGGCCGTCGACAACAAGTACAAGCGCGGCTCAAGAGCGCGCCAGAGAGAGAGAACAACAAAGACAACGTCACAATCTCCGGCTCATTTACCAGCTGAGCGAAGCTTACCTAAGCTGAGCTGAGCTGAGCTGAGTCACGTTGACGTAGCGACATCGAAGGCGGATTGCAAAACAAACAACTGGCTCTGTCTGGAAAATTTCTCGCAGTGTCGAGCGAGAGTGACTCACACGCGTTCGCCCAAGAAAAGCTTTTTACGCGCCACAGCGCTTTTATGAATGAAAATGTTCTGTTGTGGCTAAATGGGTGGCATGGGTGGCATGGGTAGCATGGTTGGCACCCGCTGTTGCCGCTTGTTTGTCTGCGACAACATCGACTGATTCAGGCCACAATTCCTGGAAAAGGATATCATCATTCGCTGGCATTTGTTATGGCATTAACCATAGTCGAAGGCGCCATGACTCACATGCGCCCTGCAGCATGCCTATGTCGTAAATTGACTTTCACTTTCCGCATGAACTCTGACATTCAGGATGCCTTTTTCCATGGAACTCATCAGTTGCGAAAATTCATGCCTTGCTGATTCATGCAACGAGCATGAAAATTACCCAAAGTGAAGAGATAAAGTTTCGAATAAGAAACTTGTACTTTTTCTAAATAATTTATTGAATCAGAAATCTGTATCTTTGTAAATTTACATACACAACATTGTTCATTCCACACAATTCCGAGAAATTTAATTATTTCAAAAAATATCCCCTATCACTATTTCGCATTTATGCTGGCAATTCCCAATCAATTTCCCACTATTCGACTTACTTATCTACATATGTTATAGAACACGCGACCTATACAACGGTATCTAAAGCACCCAAAAAAAAGTCCCTTATCACTATTCAGAAGTTGGCAATTCCCAAAGAATTTCCTACACACGCGACCTATGCAACGGTATCTGAAGCACCCAAATTTCCCCAGCCAAGCGCGTATGAGCTAAACTCCAAATAAATAGAAATTATGTCAATCGTGAAATTTCACAACAAATAAAATACCAACAGAATTTCGAGGGAAAACAGCGACAACAAGAACAATTGTTGTCCCGGCTAATGGCTCCCGGGTCCTTTGGGCCAGTCATCGATCAAACATACGCCACCTGCTTCACCTGACTCAGCTGCTAATGCCAACGGCAAGTAGTCAACAGCCAATTGGAAAACGTTTGTCGGTAAAATCACGCGATACCTGTCCAGTGTTTACCTGGCGAGCAGGTTTTTCACGAAGGGGCTGACTGGGCTGAGACTAGGGTAGGGTTCCCGTAAAGCCGACACGTGCTGGGCATGTAAGGAGCCGCCATATTACCTTATATACACGACATATTGATTTTGCTGCTATGGTTTTCGTTGTTGTTGTTGTTGTGCTGTTTAAGCTCTTTGAACTTCCTGCGACACGTGTCCTTGAGGCAGCCCGACTAGGGTAACTAACCATACAAAGTAAAGGTGTTCAATGTGAAGGTGAAAATGCGGTGAAGGACCTTGTAAAAGTTGCGCCAAGCTGATTGTTAGCAAGATATTATAGCAAAAGTTTAATTACACTAAGCTGAAATAAATTGGAAAAGAATTCTGTTTTAAATGAAATGCAATTGGAATATTTTTTTGTAAGAAATTGCGTCATCGAAAAAGAAAACAATTTTCGAATATATTTAACAATATGCAATATGCATATTTAACAGATTTTTCTTTTGCACATTTCCATTTAAACTTTCAGACTGTTGAAAAGGAAAGGCCATGCCGAAGTCGGATAGACCCCAGCTGGGCTTAGTGGCCGGAATCTCCGCCTCTTGGAAGTGTGCGTGCAATTTGCCAGTTAACATGCAAGGACTTTTGTCGATTCTACGAAATTCTTGTGAAATACTACTGCAGGGCAATTATATAACATAATATTCAAACGATTTAATCAAGACACTTTTCATATATGTATATATATATATATATATCCAAGTGTACATCGAATCAAGCTTCTCAACCTACAGAACAAATTTAGTGTAGGCATAAAAATTCATTTAAGTTTTTCAATTTTTGTTTTTAATATTTTTACAACATTTTTTAATACTTGACTAATTAGTTAATATTTTTGAGGTTCGCCTTAGCTGTCTTGAAAATTGCAGTTATACATAAAATATTTTTGTGTTTAAGCTAGTTTATTGCTAACATGGATATGGTACATCTGGGCCCAGAGAATAACTCAAAGTTCTCCTATACCCATGAACCCAACCCGAGCACTGACTCCGCTGCGCTGCGTCCGGCCCAGTGCCATGTGGACGCCTCATGGAGCACGGTTGGTACGCAGGTGCTGGTCACGTCCGAGAGCATAGTGGAGCAGCAGTCGGTGTCATGGAGCCCCAGCCGGGACATGGACAGAATTGCGAGCATGAAGATCTTCACCTCGGTCATGTTGCACGCCTGGCGGCAGAGACGCGCCGATGTGCGCCGGCTGCAGCAGGTGGTGGATCGCCTCCAGAGGAAGGTAAGTGGGATTCAAAATTCCAATCTATATATACATATAATATATATTGCCCTTTCAGTCCATGCACTCCAAGAACGAGCTGCATGTCTCAAACACATTGATGCGCGTGGAGCAGAAGCGCTGCAAGGAACTCCAGCTGGAGTTAAAGAAGTCCACATTAAGCATCAACGAGGTGCGCAGCTCCTGCGAGAAGCTAACCTCATCTGTGCGCAGCTTGAAGGCCGACAAGGATCAGTTGGAACAGGAGCTCAGCTTCAGCCGACAGGAGGTGTGTTTGACTTGACACGATTTATCCTTATCCTTTAACATGTTTTCCTTTGCAGCACTTGGAATTGGAAAGAAAGGTGGGCAAATGCAAAGATGATCTTTTGGGTGCGTTGATGGAACAGCGCAACTTGCAGCTGAAGCTCTCCGAGGAGCAGAGCAATGTGCATCAATTGGCACGCGAGAAGGAGATGCTGTCCATAAACATGCGCAACATGGAGGCCGAATTTGGAAGGCGAGAGGAATCCTACATTCACGAGTTGGAGCAAAAAAACGAGGTCTTATATAATATGCGCCTAACGGTTGAGAGCCTCGAACGAAGGCTTCGGGACCGTCAGAGGTAAGTGCCACGTGCTTGCCTCAGACAGCTTTACATTTTCACAAAGGTCAATTTCAGCAAACGTTGCGAACTAAAGCACTATCTGAAGAATATAGAACGCTGGGAGATCGAGAACTTCCAGACTGACCTCGAGGCAGAGCTACCTCAAAAGAATACCGCTATTTCGAGAGTTCCATCCGGGTCGATTAAGCGCAGCACCTTGGCCCTCATAGCCGAAGACTATGGAATTGGCCAGTTCTTGACCACAGTGCATTATTATACAACGAGCGCAGCTTTGCTGCTATGGCTCGTTATACTTCCGAAACAATCGCTGAGAAATGGATGCATGCCGATCAAGAAGCGAATAGCTAGTCCAAAGTGAAATGTCCCATTAAAGTAATTAGTTGGTATCCTATCCTACTAGTAAAATAATTTGTTTTTGCAAAAGAATGGGCAAATTGCTCGGCAATGCCGCGTACATGGAAGTGTTCTGAACAGCAAATTTATTACGAAAATCCGAAGCTAAGCTACAAAGTTACTTAACCAAGAAATTTTGAAAATGGCTGACTTGGGCAACTGTTGTTGGCTTCAACATAAGCGCCCCCCGCCCAACCCGTTACCTATACGCATCATCAATCTCAAAAGCGACTGAAATACGCGCGAGGCGAAGGTTGGGCGGTGGGTTTGGCTGATGCATAACCGTGCGTCTGTTGCTATTCGACCCGTCGTCGGTAGCAAAGGCAGCGGAAAGCCAATCGAAACCTGTTGCCACATCAATGCCAGGCAGAATTACTGGGAAACAAAGTGTGACGGAGGGTCGGCACTGAGCAGATCTGATAAACAGATGAGCCGGGCATCTATATATCGATCAATGCACAGAGAACAATCACAGAAGACACTTCCAACATACCAACCAGCAATGCTTCTATTTATACTCAGCACCCGCGAAACAAACACTTGGGAATTATAAGACGAAGCAGCAGCAACGGCAAATAACAAACAGGGGTGGGTTTCGCATGAGCACTGCGCAGTGTGTGCACCAAGTAATGCAGGTAACAAAAGTATTTGTTGCTGTTAAAATGAAAAGCCTTAGAAATTTTGAAATACATTTTAAAATGAGCTAAAATTCATTGAATTACAAATAAAATTTCAAGATTACAGTATTTATTATTTTATTTTAAGATTACAGTATTTATTATTTTATTTTAAAAATAACTAAAAGCAAATTTATTGATTAAAAAATTGCTTGGTGTTCGCGGCATTCGAACCGCGGACCTGTCTTAATATACAAGAAGATACTTTTTGAAATACATTTTTAAGATACTTTATATTGTGCCTAAAAGCATGCTATGATTTTAAACAACTTTAAATAGATAGTTTAGATAGTGCACGTATATAGAGTGTTAAAACCAAATATTTGTAAACCTCTTAATTAATATTCATATAAATATAATAACAATATCATAAAAGACCACACAAATAAGTACAACACAACATAAATATGTACAACATCAAAAGATGAACTATAAGGAAGAGAAGTCTAGTCGCATTAGATTATGTTAAGCTTTGTGATAGTAAAATGAACTATCAAACAGGTTCTGAATACTTCTTCGGCTTACAAAGTTACCGAACTTAAAGCAGCTGTTCAACTAGCCAAGTTAAGAAAGTGATAGACGCTGTTGTTTGGCTGACATTTCCGCTACGGTCACGACACGACTATTTTGTGAATCTTGCAGCGGATCTCCAGCGGCTGCCCTCAAATAAATAAAATAAAAGTAGAAAGAGCGACAGAGCTCAGCTGAGGCATGAGACAAGATTCCAGGCGCTAGACGCTGGGTTTCAGTTTGTATTTTGACTTCAGCATAAACGGACGGCGCGGACGCAAACGTGGCCAGCAAAATAAAACTACAAAAAACAACGAGAAAAAAAAAAGAAAGATACAAAGCCAGCGAATTTTAATAAACGTAGCGCGCGCCTCCGCAAATAAAAGAAATAAAATAGTAATAATAAAACGGCAACAAAAGACAGCGTAGAGAAATTTCAAATGAGTTTCATTTGAATTCGTGGCGGAATATCTACCTGATCATTAAAATGCAAAGTGCTTGGCCCACTAGCTGCAAATAAAAGCTATAAGCCGACAATTTTGTATTGTGTCTGGAATCCGTTAAAAACGCATTTCGCATACGAAACTAACTCTACGCGTGCTTGGCAGCAAGTTTATTAATTACAAGGCCCTTGTCTTAGGGTTCAATAGAAGCCAACCAGACGCATCGATCAAATTTTTTAGCAACATGAACAATCCCACGCCTGCCGGCCTGCTGCACATGGATAAGCCTTTGGCTGCTTTTTGTCAATTTTTCTTGGACTTAATTGTGTTCACAATTAAATCTATTTTTTATATATTGGAATCGCTTTATTATACAATATTGCCGCAGCGCTTTAGAAAGTTGAAGGTAAGGAAAATACGAAAACCAAAAAAAAAGTAAATGGAATTTGCATAATTAAATAATAAGCAGCTTGTTTTATTTGACTCCTTGACTTGCAGCAGCTATAAATTAATGTTTTTTCTCTAACTCAACGGAGTTGAACTTCATACTCATAAACTTTAATTAGCCGCTGCATAGTTTATTGTTTTCTTTTTTTGACAAAAGCTACCTAACCCTTAATAAATGACAGTTCATTTGGAAGTGTTTTCTGTTTCGTTTAAAAAAAACCCAAATATATCACAAAAACTAATTAGTAGCAAGTAAATTAAGCAAACACTTTATGAAGATTGTTAAATGCCATTTTAATTACTTGCTACAATTACTTGCTTAATTAAATGATTAAAATAAAATTAAACAATTATTTGAAGCAATATCTGATATTTGAGTCTTCAACAAGTTTTTCCAACAAAATAATTATTTTATTTAAAGCAATATCTGCAAAACAGTTTTTCAATATAGCGAGCTCTACTTTTTCCCCAATTCGTATTAATCCATCAAAATTGTATGCATTGTAGCGCCGGCATTTTTATGAACTTTCCAAATTGTTTTGCTTTGTTTTCCATTTTTACATCTTTCATTTGCAACAGTCGTAAACTCAATTTTGACAGACTCAACAAGATCCTAAACAAAACGGTGGCTTTGTTTGGACATACTTCAACGCTTTCCGCTGGCATTACCAAAATATTGAAAAAAATATCTATATATATGTATGTATATAAAAAAAATCATATTCACACGCTGGCGCGTTTTTTTTTTCGTTTTTGGTCTATGAATGAACTCGTCTTTATTTATTTGCACAGTTTTGTGTTTGTCTTTTGGGGCCTTTATTTTGGCATTCGTGGACGTCACTTATAATACGACTCCGCAAATATTTATGATTGTTTTTGGGCTCTTCGGTTATTTGTTGGAGGCGTTTTTTTTTTTGTTTTTCAATTGGGGCATGTGCCATTGAGCTGAAGACGTGCCAGCCAAGCCGAAGAATATACAGTTCCATTAAATATAATTTTTAATTGAAAGTCAGACGCTTTTCTTAACAAATTTTTCAATTAGTTTGTGGAAACTGGTTTTTCGCATGCATAGCCATTTTCTAAGTCATTGTTTTTGTTGTTGTTGCTGGCGCAAGTCGGTAATCAACAGACACAAAGCACAACCACAAAAGAAAATCAAGTAAAATAATATACAATCTTGCTAGAGTATAAAAATATATGCGCTTGAGGGCCTTTGACTAACTATTGTTGTAATATATATATATATTTATATATATTTGAATATATGCACATATGTTGAAATGGCAACTGCTTGCAAAATCAATTTGAAATTATAGTTGGACATCTTCATGTTGCAATACACGCTCTTGACTTGCTCAACCGTCCATAAAATATGCAAAACGTTTGCTGCACATTAAATATTCGTGTATCTTTCAGATACATATGCAAAGCAAGAAACATAGCTACAGATAAAAGTAGATAATGTCACATTAAAATGTTTTTACTCATTGAGTAATAAATATATTTATTATCTATTTATTACTCAATGGTTTTTACTTAATCTACATATAATTTAATAAATGCTTATTAAGACTATTTATGTGACACGCATTTTTTTATATGTGTATATTTATGTATACAATTCGTATTAACATTGATAATATTGAAATCTTTTTTGTTTATTCAGTTTAACTTTCACTTATATTTTCCTCCACTTTTGAACAGAACATATCGGGCCAGGTGGTGCTCATAACTGGCGGGGGCGGCGGAGTGGGACGTTTGATAGCGCTCAACTTTGCCAGACTGGAGGCGCGCATTGTCATCTGGGACATCAATCAAGAAGGTGAGTTTCGCTATGCTCTGGCTTGGCTAATTAACGCTGTACAGCTAAGTGCTTGCGAGCACGTCAGCGCTGGCAATTAGCAGCTGGGCGGGTTAAGGAACTCGCCCGGAGAAAGCTCTGCTCTACACATACAAATTGATTAGCTAACCGTAACTCTTGGTTGACAGCCATCAAGACGACAGTCGATCTGTTGGCCAAGCATGGCTTTAACAATTGCAAGGGCTATGTGGTGGACATATCGGATCGGGAACAGATCTATCAGCGTGCGGCGCAGGTCGTCGAGGATGTCGGCCATGTGGATATCTTGATCAACAATGCGGGCATCGTGTGCTGCAAGCCCTTCTGGGAGCTGCACGATCGCGTCATCCAGAACACGTACAACATCAACATCATCTCGCACTACTGGACAGCGAAGGCCTTCCTGCCGCACATGATGCGACAGAATCGTGGTCACATTGTCACAGTGGGCTCCGTAACCGGCATGCTGGGCACCTACGGATGCAGCGATTATGCTGCGACTAAATACGCGTGCATTGGCTTCCACGAGAGCCTGTTGACGGACCTGAAGGCGCACGGCTACGACCAGATACAGATGAGTCTTATTTGTCCCTATTACATCAACACGGGCATGTTCTCGGGCGTGAAGCCGCGCATGGTGCCCATGCTGGAGCCGCAATACGTGGCCGATCGCATCGAAGGCGCCGTGCGTCGCAACGAGGTCTGGTGCGTTCTGCCCAACTCCATCCGCCTGCTGACGCCGCTCAAGTGGTAAATCTCCATATAATCATATAATCTCTGTCCAATCTGAATAATCTTTAAACTTGCAGTTTGCTGCCCGCCAAAATGTGCTGGGAGCTGATGTCGCGCGTCATCCGCGGTCCCGAGTCCATGATGCTCTTCCAGGGTCGCGGACGCGTCGCCGCCGGCTAGCAATAAGAATAGAGTTCCAGCCTTAATTATTATTATTCTGTTAAGCATTAAATATCATTTGATTTCGATTGTTACCCGCTGCTAGTCCCTCACTGTGGTCTGCTGGTAGTAGTGAGGCGCCAGTTCCGTTAGCCATTCCTTCTTGATGACCGTCACATGGTTCATGAAGAGTTTGGTCGTTTGGAGCAGCTCGCCGTAGACGACGTACTGCGCCTGGGGCAGGGTGTAGAGCGTGGAGTTGGGATGTATGGCCAGCTCGGTGCCGCTGCTGATCTGCCTGTAGACGCCCGAGTGATGCAGGTAGGCGACCTGCGTGAAGAAGCCGGCGGTGATGCACTTGCACAGCATCTCCACATCGCCCTTGCACGAGAAGATGGCTATGCCGTACTTTTTGCGGGCCAGCGTCAAGAGTTGCTCGCGCAGCTCGCAGGCACGCTTCAGATTGCGATAGATGAGATAATATTGGCCGCAGAACTCCTTGGTCATGCCCTCCTCCACAAAGGCGCTGTGTATATTGAGCAGCGTAATGAGATCGCCTTCGGCCACCTCGAAGTGGCGATGCGCAATGCGTCCGCTCTGCTGGGCTGCCGCCGACGCTGGACGTGAGAAGACCGACTGCACCTGGAGCATGGCTATAATTGTGATGATTTCCTCGGCGCAGCCCATTTGCCCGGACACATACAACATCTTGGACAGCATGGCGCTGAAGGGCAATTCGGCAAGTAGGAAGCCAACCGGCCTGGTCAGCTGACCCTGCTCATCGATGGCATCCAGGGCGTACAGCGTCTCCAGGGCGGACAGCAGATTTTTGGCAGGCGGCGGCGATGGGAAATCAAAGCGCAAAATGTTGCCAATGCCCAGCGCCTTCAGCTGCAGCACGGCGCCGCTCATCTCGCTGCGGCGCATCTCTGGCGGCTGACGTGGCGCCAAGGCATCGTAGTCCTGCTTCGTGTACAGCCGATACACCTTGCCCGGACGCACGCGACCCGCGCGACCCGCACGCTGCACGGCCGAGGCTTTGCTGACAGGCACGACGACGAGGCTGTCGCTGCAGGTCGCCGGATTGTACGCCTTGACCTTCACGTAGCCGCAGTCGATGACGTACACGATGCCCGGTATCGTGATGGAGGTCTCCGCTATGTTGGTGGCCAGCACCACTTTGCGCACGCCCTTCGGCGGCGTAAAGAACACCGCCAGCTGGTCGCTGCTCGTCATGCTGCCGTACATGGGCAGCACCTTGAGATTGGCTGTTTCCGCGCTGGCTATGTACTCGCGCAGCAGGTCCAGCGCCTCCAGCACCTCCTCCTGTCCGGTCAAGAAGGCCAAGATGTCGCCGGGCGGCTCCTTCTGATGCAGCTTCCAAACGGTCTCCACCGTTTCGCGCACATAGTCCGCGCAGGGCTCGTTCAGGTAGAAATGGCTGACGGCATGCATGCGTCCCTCGATGCTCAGCTTCACGCTGATGGGATGATCGGATCGGCCTGCGCCTGGCCAGCTGAAGAACTCGCTAAAGAAGCTCGCATCGATGGTGGCCGAGGAGATAATCAACTTCAATTTGCTGCGCTTGCGCAGAATCTTCTTCAGCAGGCCCAGCACCATGTCCGTGAGCATGTTGCGCTCGTGCGCCTCATCCACAATGATGACGCCGTATTGGGTCAGCAGGGGATCGGCCAGCAGCTCGCGCAATAGGATGCCCTCCGTCATGAATTTGATGTGCGTCTCGCTGGAGATGCGCTCTTGAAAGCGCACCACATAGCCGACCGTATCGCCGACCAGTTCGCCACGCTCCTGGGCCACGCGGTTGGCCAGCGTCACGGTGGACACGCGGCGCGGCTCCGTGACTCCGATCATTCCCTTGCTGTGCCAGCCCCATTCGTACAGGTACTGCGGCACCTGGGTGCTCTTGCCGCTGCCCGTCTCACCCACCAGTATGACCACCTGATGGTTCTCCAGGCAGTAGAGAATCTGGTCGCGGTACTTACGGATGGGCAAGCGCTCGCGCTGCTCGACCAGACCGAGATTGTGATTCGCGTTGAAGACAAAGGCAGAACCCTGCGGCTCCTGCCCGCCGCCGGCATCGGCAATGGCATCATCCGTTTCTGGTTTCAGAAACTTTGGCTTAAAAGTTACCATTTTTATTTGGGATTTATTTTTGCGAAAACTGCCAAATCCAAGTGGATTAAAGATGAGCGGCTTTTTTGCAACTATTTGGTTTACTTGTTAGCTTGTTATCGAGTAATCGAATATGAACAGCTGATGTGGCGACTGGTCGATATATTTCAGCGCACTGATAGCCTATCGATATTCGCGATAGCCTATCGATACATCGATATGGGGAACAAATAAGTGTTGTAAATCGCCAAATGGGCGCCAAATTGAATGCGCCAATGAACGTTGCAAAATTTGAATAGCAATTTATGTGCGTAATTATTTATTGAAGCGTTTTCAGTTCCTGTTAAAGCAGACGGTCAAATAAAAACGCAATTGGTTTAAATAGGATTTCTAGACTTATGTTCTTTATTCAAAACTTAAAATCATAAAAATATTCACTTAATATCACTGATTCTATAAATAAGTTTATATATTGTTAGCTTTAAAAATTGTATTGGGTTGATGTTTTTTTGTTCGGCCCGTTTATACCTGCGCATAAATAGGGCTCTATATTTAATAAGGATACGTACACAAAAATATTTTAACTTTGCCATACTTATTAAATAAATGTACACAAACATTGTAATATAAGTAGTATATTAAAACTGAAACAAAAGTTTTTACTTATGTCATGTAATCGCATTATAACAAACCAAAAACTGTACTTTCAATATGTATGTAGTTTTGAATGTGGAACTATGTGCTCTGTTCAAGTTCTTCGACTAGAACTTGATTATCCTGGGGAGGGTGGGGAGGGGGGACCTTCCATGAAAGTGCGTCTCGCTAGGTGCGTGCGTCTAAATATATAGTTTATAGTTATTATTTTCTCTTGTACATATTGTATATATAATTTTCTCATTTTGCTTGTGTGCTTTCTGATATATGTAAGTTTTGTAAATTTGATTGCATTTTTATTGTAGGTTTCGTAATCTTTCTTATATTTAAGAATACACGAGTATTTTCCACGATTTTTTTAATTTCTGTCTAGCAGCGTTTCATTGACTTCTTAGTTATTATTTTATTTGTTTTCAATATTTAAGTGCTTTGATACTTTCCTGTCTTTAGTTATATATTAACATAAACATAAACATTTAGTTATTGAAAACATTTTGTTATATTTTTTTTATTGGTAATGGATTATTTCTTTGAACTCTTGTGTTTTGATTACTTTCTGTCGTATACTCTTCCTGTTCTACATGTGATCCATCGTAACTGAAGGTAAAGCCCCTGCTAAAACATTTGAATTGTAATTTGCTTTTAATTTTATACTAAATTGAATTTAGTTGTATTTAATCTATATAAATATTTAATTTAAATCGGTTTTGGCCTTGTTATACTCTAGATATACTTGTTATTAAGTTTGTATTTCGAATGTGATCCATTTAATTTTAAATTGTTTTTTTTTTATTGATTTAACACTCTATTTTATTTGTATTTTATTTGCTGGACTTTAAAACAATTTTAAGCTACAGTAAAATATTTGCAATACTCGCTGCGTAAGCTTAAGTCTTAGCTGTGTAGATGGCTACAAATAATTGTGTATAATTTTGCGTTCGAAAACGTTTTACTCAAAAGTTTGTTAGCTAAAATTGTAATTGATGCTCACATTGTTGATGTTGCTTTTTATTTATTTTTTATTAGCAGTCTAGAGAGTTGAAAAGCATCAGTATAGACTTATTTGCAGTAAAAGCGCTTTGAACACTTGTACACAATAAGCGTAAAATACAATAGATATAAAGAAAATATTATTGTTACCAGAAGAAAGCTTTAAGTGTGGATTTGGGCAAAGGCGAGAGCAGCCCCACGATTGTTGGCCAAAAATTTGATTGGGACAACGACAACATTCAAATTGCTGCGCCATTATCGAAACAGTGTTGAGAAAGCACCGAAACTGTACCAACGTGTACCAAAGAAGCAAGCAAGAAGTAACCGATTTTCAAATTGCAAGTGTCATTCCGCTTTAAACACACACACACACACATATATTCTCCCTTAACATTTTACTCGTAACGAGTCAGCCATTTTAAACTTAAAACTCATTGATTTTATGGTTCCCTTTTCGATTTCATTGCTATGTACATACATATTTTATCACATGCTTTGCATTTTGGCTGCTTAATACGTGTCTGTGTGTGAGTACTTCATGGCCATCGTGACGTCACAAAATCGTGCGCTTGTATAACAAAAAAAAAACATAATTCACGATCATTATTCTCACGAATGCTCAATTTAAAATATATGCAAGCAAAGCCCAAGCCGATGTTGTGACGTCACACACTCAAATAAAATCCCGTTTTTTCATGTCAGCTCTCTCAATCACGACTTATAGCATGTCTGTGTGTGTGGGTACTTTACGGCACGATAGAGAGAGCCATTGTGACGGCACAATATCTTGCGCTCGTACAAAAAAAACATGGCTTACGATCATTTCTCTCTCACGCTCAATTCAAAAGGTATGCAAGCAAAGCCCAAGCCGATATTGTGACGTCACACTCTCTAAGAAAAAAAAAGGATATTTTTCATGTCATCTCTTAATTATATCTCTCAATCTCTTATAGCTTGTCCAGGTCAGATTGCGGCTCGGTTGGGCTAATCGGTGACATCTCGACGCTGTCGAGCAGCGGCGTCTTCTCCTCGCTGCAGCTGCTGCCCGGCGCATCGTCCATGTCCATGACAAAGATGCGCGACAGCTCGGCACCGCTCAGGGTTCGCCTCGAGGGCGACTCATCCACGGAACTGTTGTCCTCGGCGGCGGCGCTGTTGCCGCTGCTGCTGTTGCTCGTGCTGTTGCTCGTGCTGCCGCTGCCGCTGCTGACGTTGAGAGCCTGATCCAGGGACTTGGATGGTGTGCGATAGTTGCTGGCAGTTGCTGGCGCCTGGGCGGAGGGAAAGTTGGAGCTTAAATTCGTTTGGCAGGTGAGCGTGGCCAGCGAAGTGGTCTTGATATTGGTCGTCTTCAGGTGGTTAATGGAGCAGCTGCTCCAGCTCAGCTTGCCGCCGCGTGCCGGCGGCTGCAGCTGCTGCTGTTGTCCCTGGTTGCTGCTGGCTGCTGCAAATGCGGATGACGATGATGAAGGATTATTGTCATCGTTGAAGCTCAGTTCGTCCTCGCTGCCGCTGTGCGTATTGTTGATGGCCGTCTGCTTGAGACGCACCAAATGCCGTTCCGAGTACGATTTACGTGCGTCCATTACACGCAAATAGTCCGAGGACTCACCCAGATCCTCGCTCTTGGAGCTGCAATAGCGTCGCACCCCGTGCCTCGTGCCACAGAAGCTCGTGGTTACGCTCAACATCTGCTGGCTGCCGCTGAGCGACCGGCGACTGCCCTGGGTGGAGGAGCAGCAGCTGCTCTCGTAGTGATTGTCCCGCAGCGAGCTGGGCGAGAGCCGGGCCGAGTGCGTCGAGTGATTGGAGTGATTCGGCGAGTGCTCCAGCAGCGAATCGTTGCTCTTGGCAATCCGATTCTTGCGATAGAACTTGCTGTCCCGCCAGAGCGTCTGACGCTGGCTGCCGCTGGCGCTGCCCGTGCGTTGCAGCTCCATGCTGCAGGATGGATGATGGCTGGGCGATTGATCCGTTGACGCCGTCTTGCTGATGCGGAACGAGGCGTGCGTCAGCTTCTTGTACTTCTCGCTCTGCATGTTGACGCGATTGTCCGAGTGCGTGCGATCCGCCATGGGCAGGAAGGCGTTATCGATGCGGCGCTCCTCCTCCAGCGAGCGAAAGGCCAGCCGGTTGACGTTCTTCAGATACTGCTTGTCCGAGCCGGAGACGGAGCCGGAGCCGGAGCGCTTCGGCGACATGTCCTCAAAGGAGCTGACCCGATATTTCTGCGAGAACACCTCAATCATGCTGGAGCGCTTCGAAGGCGACGTGGTGTAAATCGAATTCTGATCATTGACGAGAATCTTGGGCGGATCGAACTGCTGCTGCTGCTGTTGCTGCTGCTGGAGCTGCGGCTGAGCTGTGCTGCTCGAGGCTAGCGAGGAGTTGCTCGAGTTGCTGGTCGCCGTCACCAGAATCTTGGGGGACAGCGACACGGGAAAGTGCTGCGGTCGCATGTTGCCCAGCGAGGCGCAGCCGGAACCGGATGAGGTCGAGCCCGTGCCGGACATGGCGTCGTCAATGTGCAGAAAATTGCTGGGCGAGCTCTCGCGACAGGGCGACGAGATGGCCGAGTCCTGCGAGACCATGCTGCGCGGTATGGTGGCCAGTTCCAGGCAGGTCTCCTTGCCGCCCGTTGTCGTCGCTATGATGACATCCTCGACGCCCTCGTCAATGGGCGAAGAGATCGATTGGAAACTGTTCAGGCGTATGCTCGACGAGCCAATGGACAAATCGTTATCGGTAAGCGAACCAAATGCCGAGTCCTGCGACGGATTACTGCGTCCATATTTCAGACACTTGAGCGAATACTCCAAACGACGACTCTTCGAGTTCTTGTAGTTGCACATGTCCGCCGTCAGCTGATGATTGAAGGAGGCCGCCGCCGACGAGGCCGACGAGGCATGCAAGCGTTGTGCTCCACCCGAGCCACTGGCCACCGCATCATCTGCTTGCTCCTCCCCGCGCTCGGCCTGCTCGTAATCGACGCCGCCCTCGGCGAGCAGCACATTCAGATTGCTTTGACTGCTGGAGCTGCAGTGAATTGTGGGCTGCTCCTGGGCATTGTGGCTGTTGCTGTTGTCATCCGAGTAGAGCACCGCATGGTCGCAGTAGTGAATGGGCGACTCCGTCGGCGCATACTGTTGCCTGTGCTGGGTGCGTGTAAACGAGGACGAGGCGGAGTCGCAGTTCTGGTTACGCTGCAGTCGCTGCAGGCTCTTCATCTGACAGACGCTGCTGCCGCCCACCACAATCTCCTCGAGCAGTCCCTCCTCCTCCGCCTCCTCCTCCTCGCTTGATATGTCAAATGAGTCCATTGTTCGGCTGATGCTGTGCGAGGCGAGAACAACAATCAGAATGCGATATACGACATGAAAGGCGACATAGCTATGGATTTCAGCTTGGAGTGATGCAGGTTACGCTGCTTCTGGCATCACCTGGTGCTATTGTTTTTACTATAGCTGTGTGTGTCTGTCTGTATCTGTGTGTCAGTGTGTCTGTGTATGGGTGAGTGTGGGCGTGGGCGTGGGCATCTGCCATCGTGCTGCAGTTGAAGCGCATCAATAATAACTTGCTGGTTAGGCACGTGCTTTGTTCGCCTTGAATCTAATTAGGAAACCTGAGCTATGCTCAGAATGATTATATTTGCTTTGAATCTTCAACTAGCGTATACTCTATCCTTTACTATAACTACTTAAACTATTCATTAGGAATTGTACAATAGTGGGACTTTAAAGTGGGACTAGCGTATACTCTATCCTTTAGTATAAATTCCTGAACTATTCGTTAACAATTGTTGAATAATGTGACTTTAAAGCTTGATTTTTTCTAATAGGTTGCCTACATCTTGGTTATCTTGGTGTTAGGTCGATTTTTGTTTTTTATTTACTTAATTTATAATTTACTTAATCAGTTACCAAATCCGTGTCGATATAGTCATGTCCGTCCGTTTGTTTCTGTGGAGACTATCCTCTAATTTTTAAGGATATCGTCATGCAACTTTGCATAGGTCCGTCTATATATTGCGGGACCGGAACACTATATCGTATCGCTGCCATTGAAATAATTCTTTAGAAATAAAGTTCTTATATGAAAAACTTTTTTGTTTGTCAAGATATCCAGACAAATCTTAGTTTCTTAGTTACGAACTATATCTATTAATATCGGATAACTATATCGTAAAAAGAATTCGCTAGCTTTTAGATATCTCCACCTATTGAGCATTCCCATTCTCCTTAGCATAAGCCATAATTATCTTACACTTTAAAAGCCACAAAAAGATCTTTTTTTTGTTTGTTATACAAATATTCGATATGTGCTGTGTTATGTGCATTGCATTGCTAAGTGAAGTAAAATTTGATGGGATGAAATCGAACTCTAGCAAACCTAATGCTGTTTATTTTAAGTACAAAAATCTCTACAGTTCAAAAATTGCAATAGTGTACATATTGTACTCAGCTCTAAAAATGTATTAGCAAAAGAACAAAGAGTATTAACTCGGAGTCTCTGCGGAAAGTTTTGCCTTTAACAATTGGTTAACTAAAAATAATACACATTCTATATATGAGGGATATCTTAATTTTGTATATTAATATATAGTATATAATATTATTGCATGTTATTAGCTAAAATAAGATACTTTGGAGGGTAACAAGAAAAGTATCAACTACCAAGTGCATAATTAGTAGAATACTTTTTATCTAAACATACTTTTTATCTATCCAAACAGATAACTTGCAATGGCTCACTTTTTTGACCAGAAAGTTTGTAAATAATCGGACTATTATCGTTAGGTTAAAATTCCCATCTTAGCTATGTGGGTAGATTTTTAAAATGATATCAACAGATTATCTACATTATTTCTGCAAGGGTATCTAATATTCGGCAGGCCGAAACAATTTGCTTTTTATTGTGATACAAATGTGCATGCAATATTTATTTGAAAGCAGTTAGAACAACAATTATAAACTATATCCGTACAAATAAATATTTTAGACAACAACAGTTATTTACACACGGAAATTATTTATTTATAACATTTAAGCGAAAAACCAAAAAAACAATTATAGCAGGTGGAAAATGTCGATTCTCTACAAAAATAGTTGTTGCTGGATGTATTTTTGGTCCCATTTGACATATGCCAAATTGAAGTTTTGCTAAAAAATGGGCGTGGCTTTCTAGCTAGGCGCCGTGCATTTAGGTGGAGTGAGGGGGGTGTTGAGGGGGGGGGGGATGTTGATGCCGCTGTTGGTTTAAGCGTACACAAAAATTTGCCACTTACCACTTTTATATATTTTTTTTCTTAACCCAACAACAACAACAATTTGTTTGTATTTCGGTTTTTCTTCCATTTTTGGGAAAGATTTTTGTTTGGTTTTTGGGGGGTACAAAAAATTGCAGTTGAGTACAAAAATTGTTGTGATTGATACAAATTGCGCTGTCAGCATTTATTTAGGTTTTTTTATTATGTTTTATTCAGGTATTCATTTCATTTGCCATTTGGTCTTACACTTTGTAATTGTGGTAATTGTATTGTTGTGAGTGATTTTTGTTGTGAACTTTTTTAAATTTGATATTCGTTTGTTTTGTTTGCATCTTGGTTGATAGACTGGTTGGTTGGTTGGTTGGTTGGTTGGTTGATTGATTGATTGATTGATTGGTTGGTTTAGTACATACGAAAGACTTCATAGGGCGCAGGCGGACAACTGTAGTTGGTTCGAACGGGTTATGTAAATAAACAAATGCAGAAATGCAACAATTTGTAAATCATAAATAAAACACACACGTATGTTAAATAGACAAAAACAAAAGTTGATAGACATTCAAGAGCTGATCTGTATGTATTTATGTAAAGATGGGGCTTGTGTAACTGCAACTGGTTCAGTTTGATTGTTCGGCTCGCAACACTAAGACATATATATATAAAGTAGGTTTTTTTTATTTATTCAGATGGATTATAAACATTGGTTTTTGGTTGATTTGGTTTTAGTTGTAGAGAGAAAGAGAGAGTAAACATTGCATACAAAAAACTTTAGTTTTAAAAAATTCCTCTACTTACATATATGTATGTATATAAGTTAATATATATGTATAAGACATGCGGTTTTTTTATTTGGCAGCAAAAAATAAATTTACACTGAGAGAAATATATATATGCTTAAAATATACATGAGCAACGATGTGTATTGGGCATTTAATATATAGTTGTTGCCTTTGCTACCTCCATTCTACACTCTCCCTTCCTCTTTCTTCCTTCTCCCTTCTACCTTCTCCATATTACTTAATTACATTCTCGTCTTGTATGCATAATTTTCAAGCACTTAATACTCTGACAACAGGCGCAGACAGAGAGGCAGCCCGGGGGCGAGCGGGCGGTGTAGCAGTGAGAGCAGGGATCTCGGCCAGAACATTACCATAATTACCGCAGGCACGCACACTAAGGCACACAGACAAACGGACAGGTGCTTGGGTGAGATACATGTACACATATACACACACATAACTATACGAATACACACACACATTCACACATCAAGTTCATGACGCCATTTTTTGCTTATGCTCTCATTTTGCGTTATGCAGTTTCTCCACTGTTTACCTTTTTTCTTGTTTCGTTTTGCAACACACAATTTTATGCTGCACACTCATTTTGTGTGCATTTTGCAGTACTTGTCTGTGTGTGCGTGTGTGAATGTGACATTGTGTTATCTTTTATTAGCTTGAAATGCACCTATTCATTTCCAGGAACAAAGTCTACTAAAAACGTACCCATCCCGAGTCTACATAAAAACAATAGGTTATATTTTGTGACAATTTATCTATTTGTTAAATATCCCATAAGCAGTTTCTAACGCTCATTTTAAATAAATTTAACGGGAAATAAAAAAAAGCCTGCATTGTTAACTACACATATATTAAAGATAATACTTTATTAAATAAATATATATTTCTTAATATCATGCAAGTTTTAAGAAATGTTGAAAAGACTTTAGTTAAGAATTTTTTAAGCTGGTTGGATCTATCTCTATATCTCTATATCACTAGACCCAACATAGATCTTTATGGGCCAGAAAAGTCCTCCACTTAACAAATGGCCTTTTGCTGGCAGCTGTAACAGTACGTGAATGTGTGTACGCTGAGATTCGAATATGTATTAGCCTGTGTGCGCGGGTGTGTGTGTGTGTGTGTGTGTGTGGGTGTGTGTGTGTGAGTGTGTTTGTCGGTGAGCTGCATGGCTATGTGTTAGTGGCACGAATCTCTAGTCTCCATGGACACTTACCCAGTGCGTCGATCATGCGGCGTCGAGGGGGGCGTGCACGGAGAACTCGCCGCGCTGAAGGAGCTGCCCAGCGAGGCGCATTGCCGCTTCTTTACGGCGTGCAGCAAATTTAACGTGGATCGGCTGAGGCTCGGCTTGATTGTCTAAATGAGGTGTAAATTGAGCGTTATTATGGGCGGATATTAAGATAAAGTTTTTTTAACCAGCTACTCACACTGAAGCACGGGCCGCGCAGCTCGCGTAAATCGATGCTACGGAATAGATCGCATAGGACTAGGTCCTCGACGGAGGGGCATACGCCGCTGGGCGGCTCAAAGATAAGGCCTAATATTTCCAGAACCTACAAAATGGAAATGGTGTCAGCAAACATTTCGTAGAGACGGTCGTCAGTTGTGGCCCGTTACCTGGCCAATTTGTGGATAATGCTGCAACTCCATTTCGAGCACCCGCATGGACGGTTTCGGTGTGGTCATTTCCTGACCGGTGCACATTTCATAGATCAGATGGCCAAAGCACACGATGTCAACATTCTCAATTTCCGTCACGGAACGAGACCACATGACGGCATTATTGCGCGAGCTCAGACCCAGCAGGCCATTCTCCAGGCCCGATAATCTGCCAAACAATAAACGAGACAAAACATGAAACACACAGAAATTGCATAATTAAAGGTCGACATCAAATAATGACATCACTTAGTGCCTGCTTTTTCCTGCTTGCTCCGCACACAGCCTCAACTATGCTGGGAATGGCCAACATGGCCAACGTGGCAAATTTTATGGCTAAAATGTTTCTCTCACATGGCGTCAAATGTACTTATGGTATGTGACAAATGTACTTTATGTGGTGACAAAAAAGATAGTTCATGAGTTGGTTCAATTATAATAAAGATCTATATAAAATCATAAATCCAATACCAAATTCTTATCATAGTTAATCAAGTGAAAATCATTATTTGGATTTTAATCATGAAGGTTGCCGCGTCGAACTTTAAGCTTTAATCGATTTCTATATTTACTCTGGCATCGGCATACCCAAAACCGCCCATCGCCACGCCCACAAAATGTTCAGCACATTTAAATTAAAAGGGCAAAAAGCTTGGAGGATTTTTTATGTTTGTTGTGCCTCACCCATTCCGTGTTTTTGCCTCTTCTGAGTGTGTGTGTGTGTGCGATGTTTGCGAGAGAGGTGTTAACGGGGTCGTGAACACGGGCTGTCGCCTGCCGTGAAAGGCAAAAAGGGTGAGGGCTAGGCTAGGATTAGGGGTGGGTTAGTTTGAAAAAGTAATCTTAGATGCATTTGGTATGACCAAAAACAGAGGCTGTCATTTTGTTGAATTGCTTTTAATTGCTTCTCAAATAAAATTGAATCCAAGCAACTTATCAATTGGCATCAAATCAAAAATCCAAGGACAAAATTGAAGTTTTTTGCAAAGAACGGATCGTTTATCGTTAATTTTTAACTTTTTTGATAACTTTTTTTGATTATTTCGGCCAAATACTGTCCCATTTGGAAATTTTATACCATTTTGGACTCGTAAGGATCAGTACTATCGATTGGCATCAAAAAAATAAAAATCTAAATTTTGGCCAAAATCAACAAAATGGCAAGAGGTTACATCACGTTTTTTCTCAAATTCGGGGTCGGTTCGAAAAACAAAACTTTTTTGATGATTTTTATTGAATATCACGGGTAAATACTGTCTGATTTTGAAATGTTATACCTTTTTGAATTCGTAGGGATCCCTACTATCAATCTGCATTCAAACATTTTAAAAATCGATGGGTTAAAAAAAGTGGTTGACCAAAAGCCGATTCGTTTGTAAAGTCAACCTTTTCTTATGATTTTTTGTAATATCTCGGCCAAATACTGTCCGATTTGGGAATTTTATACCATTTTGGACTCGTAAGGATCAGTACTATCGATTGGCATCAAAAAAATAAAAATCTAAATTTTGGCCAAAATCAACAAAATGGCATCGAGTTTTTTCTCAAATTCGCGGTCGGTTCGAAAAACAAAACTTTTTTGATGATTTTTATTGAATATCTCGAGTAAATACTGTCCGATTTTGAAATGTTATACCTTTTTGAATTCGTAGGGATCCCTACTATCAATCTGCATTCAAACTTTTAAAAAATCGATGGGTTAAAAAAAGTGGTTGACCAAAAGCCGATTCGTTTGTAAAGTCAACCTGTTTTGATGATTTTTTGTAATATTTCGGCCAAATACTGTCCGATTTGGGAATTTTTGCGGTCGGTTCGAAAATCAAAACTTTTTTGATGATTTTTATTGAATATCTCGGGTAAATACTGTCCGATTTTGAAATGTTATACCTTTTTGAATTCGTAGGGATCCCTACTATCAATCTGCATTCAAACATTTTAAAAATCGATGGGTTAAAAAAAGTGGTTGACCAAAAACCGATTCGTTTGTAAAGTCAACCTTTTTTGATGATTTTTTTTAATATTTCGGCCAAATACTGTCCGATTTGGGAATTTTATACCATTTTGGACTCGTAAGGATCAGTACTATCGATTGGCATCAAAAAAATAAAAATCTAAATTTTGGCCAAAATCAACAAAATGGCAAGGGGTTACATCACGTTTTTTCTCAAATTCGGGGTCGGTTCGAAAAACAAAACTTTTTTGATGATTTTTATTGAATATCTCGAGTAAATACTGTCCGATTTTGAAATGTTATACCTTTTTGAATTCGTAGGGATCCCTACTATCAATCTGCATTCAAACATTTTAAAAATCGATGGGTTAAAAAAAGTGGTTGACCAAAAACCGATTCGTTTGTAAAGTCAACCTTTTCTGATGGTTTTTTGTAATATCTCGGCCAAATACTGTCCGATTTGTGAATTGTATACCATTTTGGACTCGTAAGGATCAGTACTATCGATTGGCATCAAAAAAATAAAAATCTAAATTTTGGCCAAAATCAACAAAATGGCAAGGGGTTACATCACGTTTTTTCTCAAATTCGGGGTCGGTTCGAAAAGCAAAACTTTTTTGATGATTTTTATTGAATATCTCGGGTAAATACTGTCCGATTTTGAAATGTTATACCTTTTTGAATTCGTTGGGATCCCTACTATCAATCTGCATTCAAACATTTTAAAAATCGATGGGTTAAAAAAAGTGGTTGACCAAAAACCGATTCGTTTGTAAAGTCAACCTTTTTGATGATTTTTTTTAATATTTCGGCAAAATACTGTCCGATTTGGGAATTTTATACCATTTTGGACTCGTAAGGATCAGTACTATCGATTGGCATCAAAAAAATAAAAATCTAAATTTTGGCCAAAATCAAGCAAATGGCAAGGGGTTACATCACGTTTTTTCTCAAATTCGGGGTCGGTTCGAAAAACAAAACTATTTTGATGATTTTTATTGAATATCTCGAGTAAATACTGTCCGATTTTGAAATGTTATACCTTTTTGAATTCGTAGGGATCCCTACTATCAATCTGCATTCAAACATTTTAAAAATCGATGGGTTAAAAAAAGTGGTTGACCAAAAACCGATTCGTTTGTAAATTTTAAAACGTTATACCTTTTTGAATTCGTAGGGATCCCTACTATCAATCTGCATTCAAACATTTTAAAAATCGATGGGTTAAAAAAAGTGGTTGACCAAAAACCGATTCGTTTGTAAAGTCAACCTTTTCTGATGGTTTTTTGTAATATCTCGGCCAAATACTGTCCGATTTGGCAATTTTATACCATTTTGGACTCGTAAGGATCAGTACTATCGATTGGCATCAAAAAAATAAAAATCTAAATTTTGGCCAAAATCAACAAAATGGCAAGGGGTTACATCACGTTTTTTCTCAAATTCGGGGTCGGTTCGAAAAACAAAACTTTTTTGATGATTTTTATTGAATATCTCGAGTAAATACTGTCCGATTTTGAAATGTTATACCTTTTTGAATTCGTAGGGATCCCTACTATCAATCTACATTCAAACATTTTAAAAATCCATGGGTTAAAAAAAGTGGTTGACCAAAAACCGATTCGTTTGTAAAGTCAACCTTTTCTGATGATTTTTTGTAATATCTCGGCCAAATACTGTCCGATTTGGGAATTGTATACTATTTTGGACTCGTAAGGATCAGTACTATCGATTGGCATCAAAAAATAAAAATCTAAATTTTTGCCAAAATCAACAAAATGGCAAGGGGTTACATCACGTTTTTTCTCAAATTCGGGATCGGTTCGAAAAACAAAACTTTTTTGATGATTTTTATTGAATATCTCGAGTAAATACTGTCCGATTTTGAAATGTTATACCTTTTTGAATTCGTAGGGATCCCTACTATCAATCTACATTCAAACATTTTAAAAATCGATGGGTTAAAAAAAGTGGTTGACCAAAAACCGATTCGTTTGTAAAGTCAACCTTTTCTGATGATTTTTTGTAATATCTCGGCCAAATACTGTCCGATTTGGGAATTGTATACTATTTTGGACTCGTAAGGATCAGTACTATCGATTGGCATCAAAAAAATAAAAATCTAAATTTTTGCCAAAATCAACAAAATGGCAAGGGGTTACATCACGTTTTTTCTCAAATTCGGGGTCGTTTCGAAAAACAAAACTTTTTTGATGATTTTTATTGAATATCTCGGGTAAATACTGTCCGATTTTGAAATGTTATACCTTTTTGAATTCGTAGGGATCCCTACTATCAATCTGCATTCAAACATTTTAAAAATCGATGGGTTAAAAAAAGTGGTTGACCAAAAACCGATTCGTTTGTAAATTTTGAAACGTTATACCTTTTTGAATTCGTAGGGATCCCTACTATCAATCTGCATTCAAACATTTTAAAAATCGATGGGTTAAAAAAAGTGGTTGACCAAAAACCGATTCGTTTGTAAAGTCAACCTTTTCTGATGGTTTTTTGTAATATCTCGGCCAAATACTGTCCGATTTGGCAATTTTATACCATTTTGGACTCGTAAGGATCAGTACTATCGATTGGCATCAAAAAAATAAAAATCTAAATTTTGGCCAAAATCAACAAAATGGCAAGGGGTTACATCACGTTTTTTTGAAATGTTATACCTTTTTGAATTCGTAGGGATCCCTACTATCAATCTGCATTCAAACATTTTAAAAATCGATGGGTTAAAAAAAGTGGTTGACCAAAAGCCGATTCGTTTGTAAAGTCAACCTTTTCTTATGATTTTTTGTAATATCTCGGCCAAATACTGTCCGATTTGGGAATTTTATACCATTTTGGACTCGTAAGGATCAGTACTATCGATTGGCATCAAAAAAATAAAAATCTAAATTTTGGCCAAAATCAACAAAATGGCATCGAGTTTTTTCTCAAATTCGCGGTCGGTTCGAAAAACAAAACTTTTTTGATGATTTTTATTGAATATCTCGAGTAAATACTGTCCGATTTTGAAATGTTATACCTTTTTGAATTCGTAGGGATCCCTACTATCAATCTGCATTCAAACATTTTAAAAATCGATGGGTTAAAAAAAGTGGTTGACCAAAAACCGATTCGTTTGTAAAGTCAACCTTTTCTGATGATTTTTTGTAATATCTCGGCCAAATACTGTCCGATTTGGCAATTTTATACCATTTTGGACTCGT